ATTTACAATAAAAATGATCGAACAAAAAAACGAAAAAAAAAAAAAAACAGAACAACAAAAAAACATGATAATTATAATCTCACATCTCGGAACAGAAAACGTACGCGCGTACACAGACGAATGTGACAGTATACCGTCGTTAAAGAGCTTTGTCATTTCGAATATCACGCGATGTGAAACTATTCTCCGCTCGACTTTTTTTCGCGTTTCGATCCTTCAAACGTCACAGACACCCGTGAATTTAGACGCGATCGCCAAGATGTCGTGAGGAGCAATTTTTTTCTTTCTCTTTTCGCGATGATTTTCGAACTTCGCGTTGATCAGCGTGGCTCTCTTTTTCGCCATTTCGTCCTCTCAACCCCCGAACCGTCTGTAAAGAAAAAAATATTGCGGTTCTACAAATGATTTGTTACGAACGATCGTTAGGTTGTGAGCCCGAAGCGTCTCTCGGTTCGGTTGTTTACACCGAATCGGTGAACTCTCGTCAGGGTACGGGAGAGTTAAACGAGAGCGAAGAATCTGTGTCAATAAACGATCGAAGAAAGTGCATGTAAATGGAGGCAGATGTTTTTTCTCGAAGCGTACATTCGTATCTCATTTTTCCATCCTCTTTTTTTTTTTCTCTCTGTGAAACCGTCGTGTCTTTTCGACGTTCCCGTTCATGGGGATTTTTTTTCTCTACTTATTTTTCGCACGGAACTATACTCGATGGCACACCTCGATGATGATTTCGTATATTTTATCCTGTGTAGAACAAAATATATATACATATTATTATATGTATTTTTATTATACTAAATATTTTAGGTTCCGAAATATATACAGGGTGGACCACGAAACGTGATCAGTTTAGTTAAAAGTTTAGTTAAACCTGGAAGTGGACAGAATTTTGTTTGTTGTACTAGAGGCTCCAAAATGTTTATAATAGCACAGAAATTGCGTGAAAGTTTATTAAAATCACGGTAATTAAAAGGGTTTATTAAAATGGTCGAGTATCATCGAGAATCGTTCCGTTCTGCTCTACACTAATTTTTTCTCTGAGCTCTGAGTCTTTTTGCTCTTTTTCCTCCGTTCTACGTTTTTTGCCCCCGCCCTCCGGACGACAAAACCGGGCGGGGTTGATCGTGTCGTTACAAAATCGAGCCTAACTTCCATTCGAACGCGCGTCTACTGTCGTTTCGCTCACTTTTTTTTCTGATTCTTCTTTACCTCGCTGTTGACGCCCATTCCCCGGGTGATCATCCCCCCTATCCGGGGGTGGTAGAACGATCGGTTCGAAAATAAAGACAGTGCTAACGATCGCATAGAAAATTGTAAAGAGAAGCGATAAAAAGGTGAGAATGGCTTACAAAGTGTATATTTAAGACTCACAGACTTTTCTTCCTCATTTCGTACGTTAATGGCAGAAGCGCTTTACTCACAAGTGCCTTTCTTTGTTTTTCTTTCTTTTTTTTTTTTCTTTCTTTTCTCTAGTATTCACACTATCTATCTTCTTTTCTCTCTGTTCTTTTTTCTTTATCTTACTGTTCTTTCTTTCCTGTCTCTTTCTCTCTCTAATCTTTATTTCACACGTTCACTGCGCTCGTATTCCGTTCATTTTCTTCTCCGTCTCTGCACTACGTCGTTCATCATAATACGCGTCAGGCTCTCTCCTTCGCGTGCCAAATGCCCGGCTGATTTCGTTAGGGAAACTGTTCTCGCGAGACTTATGCAGGATGGGTTACCGGGGGTTATACGTATCGAGACGATAAAGTTCGATTACGAATTTATCTCTTTCGCGATATAAACTCTTGTTGCAGCTTGCCTTTGCCGTCATCGTTCGGCTGCCATGCTTCCAGGCTGTACATGTGTAGGATTGTTGTCCCGTCTTGATTGTTTATTTTGTTCCGATTCGCAACCGTGCGTCGATCGTTCCGTGTTAATAAACTGCGGACATTTATTGCTAAACATCTTTTTCACTGAGATTAAGGTGTCATTGGGTTTTGAAACAAGTATCAGCCTTGTTAACCTATTAACCCTGGATGAATCTTTTTTTCTTTAATAAGTTGATATTGTGGTTTTAATATAGTTTCTTATAAGAGAATTCATATTTTCAAAAATGGTTGAAAAATGCCTAAAACTTCTAGAAAATAATACTATAAGATTCGAGATTAATGTTCAATATTGATTACCGACAATAAACTTATTAATCTTTACTTAATAATTGTCAAACGTATCATTATCACAGTATCTGTATTAGTGTACAAAGTTCATTGTGTTCGTCCTTAATACAGCAGAATCTTCAACAAATTACCTTATGATGGACAAATTACACGGTGAACAGGTGACTTTTTATAAAAAATATTCTCTATACTGAATCTTTAAATAAAGTATAAGATCCGTGCAATGCAACTCCATTTGCTCGAACCTGTTCAGAAGCAAGCAAGTTTATCATAACAGATCATATTAAATAATCCTCGACAATGAGCTCTTATTATTGAAATAACTGTTCCAATAATACGAGCTGAAACGCAAGTCCAGTTGTACTTTCAGACGAATTTTCGTTCAATAAATCCCGTTAAGACAGGATCGAATAAATGGAATTTCACTGCGCTGCTGTGATCGTTAATAACGGAGCAAACGTACGTCGTTCACAGAACACAATTGGAATGATCGATGCGCGGTTCAATCATGCCACCGCGGTCGATCGTGACTCATAGACCCCGCGGCGATCCAAGCACGCGACGCCCTCGCGTGGAATCGGAGATCGGGGTCCATGGGTCACGAACGATCGATTGTTAATCGTTAAGTTTATTAATTAGTACGTACGCTCTAATAATTGTCCACGTCTTATCTGTTGACTAATGATGTTGCTCTTGCATTATGTTCGCAGAACGCGTCAAAAGATAAGGTAAAGCTTTAACGATCAACTGGTAGATCGGCATGCTTCCGTAGGGGAGAGTGTGCGTGTGGTTAGAGAAAAAAAAAAAAAAGATAATGCAGACATTAGTATCGCAGGGATTGTGTGAAAGAAAACGATGCAAACAATACGATATTATAGGATAGATAGACACAACGCTTGCCATTCCTTAACGATCCGTATCGCGGCTCACGGTGTCGATGCATCACCGATCGGGCCAACAATTTTTCAATATTCCGTTTCTTTTTACGTTTTACGATCCCCATTTTATTACACGTACGAATTTTTTTTACTGCACACGATTGTCTTGAACGTGATAGGAAGATGTTGAGGAATCGTGTCTTTTTTAAATTTTTGGTTTTTTTCAATATCAGTCTCTTCTCTCGCCACTTTTTCACTAACAATTTGCACGGCTTTGTGGATGACGTCAAAGAGAGAAGATCGGTTAGATCGTTAGTACGTCGACTTTTGAATAAATCGAATTGGTAACGGGAATGTAATACACGGAACACTTAAAATGGAATTCGAAGTTCCAAACGAGGTTATGTTTGCCGTGTTCGGTAGGACACGAGGGACATTTTGATTAACACGTTCACTGGGAGTCAATTTCGGTTGACTTTCCGTTTACGCTGAGTGTATTACTTTATATTTAACCCTTTGCACTCAAACTTTTCGATTTCCCCATAGATTTTGTCACTTCAGAGGGGACAATCAAGTGCAAAGGGTTAAATTTGTATTACATGACGGTCACCGGTGGTCGACGTGGCGTGATCGGAAAGTTCTGTCAATGACTGATGACTAGACTGCGGATGTTTATGCAAATTTAGATTTCTAGGGGTTAATTTACTGGAAGTGGTGTCAATTAGTTATTGCACTACATATCCCTATTGATAAACATTTCAGAATATACAGGGTGAGTCACGTAACGTTTGCACCTCAAATATCTTTATTGTTTTTAAAGATATGTCAAATGTCTAAGAACAAAGTTGAATGGTTTAATGGTACCCACAGGATGGCGAACAACTTTTGTTTTTATATTTTTATATTTAATTCAGTGACTATAATTATTCAAGGTTATTCAAGGTCACGGAAAAAAGGGTGGTTCCATTTTAAAAAAACAAGGTGACTTTGACGTATCTAAAAAAAATGACATAATAACAAAAATTGTTTGCCATCGTGTGAGCCCCATTGGACCATTCAACTTAGTCCTTAAGACATTTTACGTATCTTTAAAAACAACAAATATATTGAGGTGCAAACTTTAGGTGACTCACCCTGTATACATTGTTACAAAATTATTAGTCATTCGAACTTAAAAATTTCTGTGACTCCTTATAAACGTTAAGAAAAATAAAGAAAGGGTATACTTGAAGTCATAACCACAACGGAAATATAAGACACATATACATCATCCCTTTATCTGATCATAATAATTTGATCACCCACTGTATGGTGAATGTTAAAAAATAATTCTAAATAATAAATGCATAAAATCCGCAATCTACCAATGATCAACACTACGGTGAATGTGTTAGTTCTTACCGGTCAATTTTTTCGCCACCCCTCTAGCGGAATATCCACCCCCCTGTCGCCGCGAGAATTTCCACCATGCGTTGCCCCCGCTTTTGCGAAGGTTTACCCTGACCTGGCTAACCGCAGACCCTGGCGTGTGCGAATTTGAGCCGAGCTAAGCTCACCCCCTCCTCGTTGACGGTGCTTCTCACGCGTGTTCTCTGAATTTTGCAGAAGAAACCCGACTGGTCGAAGAAGGGCGAGGAAAAGAAGGTAAAGGAAGAAGAGGTGGAGGCATGAGGTGAAACCTTCGTTCTCGACGTGTATCGAGAAGGGATCGTCCATCTGTCTACCCGATAACATCTCGACGCAAGAACACTCAAAACAAAAAAAAAAAGATCACTTCCTCCGTCGCCACTACCGTTTCTTTGTCTCTCTTATCTTTCTCTGTTTTTTTGTTTTTTAAATCACCAATTAATTTAAACGTCTACCGCTCCCTCCACCCTTGCACGCAGAAATCACGTTATCTTTTTGTTTCTTATCCACGACGAACTGTCGGGGGATATATACGTATGTCTCTCTGTCAACTTGTCCGTCGAATACAACGAAAAGAGAAACAACACCACGGTATCCGATCCAAGAATTTTCAATATCATGTGACTGACCCAAAGAAACCACGTTTTTTTTTTTGCTTCCAGAGTACATGTACATATATTTTTTTAGAAAAAAAAAAAAGAAACAAAGTCCCTACGTATATATCTGTTCGCCGTTTTGTCGACGTTCTTTTAATTTTCTACTCGCCAAGCCCCCCCCCCCCGCCCACAACCCCCCGTGTATACACGTTAACTTTCTGTGAACCGGATCAAAGGGAGAAACGAAGCTTCACGAGACAGCGAATCGTTATTTAAGGTCTATTGTAAAGCAAAATATTTAACGACAATGATAAAACAATGTAATCCGTCTGTGTTCATTCTACCCTTTTCCAAGATCCTGGTCTCATCCCTCTCCTCTGTGGTATTTTCTGTTCTGTGATTTATAAAATCGAAGACGATCGGTAGAATCGAATTCATCGTTATTTAACCGTGGAAAACTCGTTATAAGTGGTCTCGTCTGTTAAAGGTCACGATGTCTATCGGCTGTTTAAGTTTCGCTGTATATAATCGAGTCGTTCCGACGTTGATATAGAATTATACGGCTGATTCAATCACGTTATCGTCGTGATCGACTAGCTCGAACGTTTACAACCGTCGTCTTCGGTTTGAATCAGATGTTCGTGACGAGGTAATAACAGTCCCTGTCGTGTCTCGTGGCTATGTTAAGAGAACGAAGCGTCTTAATGCGCTTGTTAATTCCGCGAACGGCTCAATTACAACGTGATTATCGGGACGGCCACGGTGCAAGAAGCTGAAAACTTTTACCGCCCGGTTCGTGAACCTCTTTGCCACGCGAGGAGAGAGATCCCCGTCGAACGGTCAATGAGCCGTATCGAATGGTGGAGCGCGCACCCGGTCGACCGTGAACAATCCACAGAGAAATTTCACGCCACGTCTTATAAATATCGCGGGGTGCTTCGAGAAAACGGAATCTCTTCGTTGAGTTCGATTTTTGAGAACAGTCGCCAGTGTGCTGGGACGGTTACCGATCGAACGAGTCGGATGGTCGAGTTTATTCGGGAATAATCTGCGAAAATGAAAAAAAAAAAAAAACGTACAACGAAAAATAAATATAAAATGGAAAATATAATATTCTGGATAATTTCGATCTTTTCGTATGTTTTTGAGGAATGTTCAATTAATAGTGTTTTGGTAATATTATTCTGATATCGAAATCGGTAAATTGAGGATTTTTGTGAAAATTAAATAGAAAGCGATTTTATAGAATAATAGATCGATCGATAGGTTTTCGTTACTTTGTTGAAGTTTTTAGTCGAGAAAATTTTTTAACACGTTGAACGCCATAAATAGAAGATTGAGGATATTTGTAAAAATTAGGTGGGAAGCAATTTTAGAGAACAATTAATTCATCTATGAATTCTTCTAATGAAACAATTTTTCTAATGGAACATAAAGTAAAATATATAAATCTTTGAAAGTTTGAATTTATCCTAAATAACATTAACCGATTTATTTTTACATTTAGTGTAATTTCTAATTATTTCAAAAGGGCAACAGTAAACAAAATTTCATTGAATTATTTTTTGACATAAGCGGAAGGCTTAGATCACAGCCCCCTTGAAAAGTGGGGCCAGGGGCTGTAGCCCCAAGCTCCCACCCTTCATTAATTCGGTGCTGAATACAAATAAACAAAAGACGTGGCGTACAGAATGGATTAATCGAATATGTTCTCCGCGGTTCCGTATTTTACCGGGCATTCTATTCAAACGATTCTATTTCCAGCCGAACAAACAAGCACGGTAGGTGCTTCGTTGATTAACTTTCGCTTTAATTACCATTTGCTATGCACAGTGTCCCCTACCTTTATCTTTCAGCTTTTTCGCGCTTTCCACGTATTGTTTACACTGTGACGTAACAAAAGATCGCGCGAGCACATTTCGACGAAACATTATTTTGTCGCGAGGTTATTGTATTTTGCGCGAGCGTGCATTGTCCCCGTTCCGTTTCGATTGTTATTAATTATACGGAGAATTTATCGATCGTTATAAATTATACGGAGAACTTTTTTTCGATCGTTATAAATTATACGGAGAACTTTTTTTCGATCGTTGTTAATTATACGACGACTTTTTTCGATCGTAATAGGGTCATTCCACGCGAAATCGGACATTTTTTGGAGCACCATTTAGGATTTTGTGCAAATTTGGATATATTATAGTCTTTAGCGATATGTAAACGTATCTCGAAGGATTTTTGAAAATTTTTTAAATTAGTGATTTTACACCTGTTTGAAATTTAAGGTCAACCTTTTTTCAATAAATCATAAGTATTGAACTAACAAACTGATCAAAATGAGCTTTGCGGGTACTTACAGTCGAGACATAAGAGTACCGAATAAAAATAATTTCAGTTAAAAAAAGATATTTTTTAATCATTTATTAGGAACCGTTGATTTTACGTTGTCGAACGCGTCGACAGGGAAACTGCGGGACATGACCTCTTGAATGTTACACGCAACGTTATTATCATTCACCGGGACAAATGATGTATCCATAAACGACGGCTTAACGCGAGTACATTCGCGAGAACCCGCGAACCGGCCGTAAATCACGCAATTTAACGCGCGTGCCGTCGACGTGTCGAGCAGATTGCGAGCGAAATTGTATACCGACCGCCGTTGTCCTATCGAATTAAACAGCGGGCGGAAAAAAAGCAAACGGTGGTGGACACGCTCACGGAAAAAAACAAACGATATTGCATTTATTTTTCTGAGAGTATACTTTGCAAACGTGCTAGCGCGCTGTCGAGATATTACTGTGATTTTTTTAAGAATTTACTAACCAGTTATATTGACTGTTTTGGTAGTTGTGGTGTTAAAAAGTGGACCTTCGAAAATCTTGAAGCTAGGGCAATTGATTTATCTATTTTATACCATCATCTTCAGTAATTTCCACGCAACGTAAAATTTTCCTTCGAATCTGTTTTATGTAGTCAATAATTCTGGCGATATTCCATCTAAAGCTTCGTTTATCTAAATACCAGGAATAGCTCCAATACTTCTGATTGATAGTATACATACAGTGGACAAAACAAATATTTGCACACTCGAGCATTTTATATTGCATACATTGAATCTAATGAAAAATATATATCGTTAAAAATCACGATGTTTGGCCGCTTACCGTAATTAAAGAAAATGCATTACAAATTTAAATATATAGATAAACCATCTGAATTTATGAGGGAACTAATATAATTCTAAAAAATGTGGATGCCTGCAGATATTATTTTATCTATTGTATATCGTCGTTTCAATGGTAAAGTAGCGAGACTATAATTTTTACGTGTCTGACTTAAATGCATGATATTTGATTTTCTATACTTATTCAACTTAATTTTTAACTACGTATACGGTGTACCAATAAATCACTGCTTTTCAGAAAATTCTATGTTTCGTTGTAAATCACTCAAACATTTACACTATCTTCGCAATATTTGTTACCTGCCTCCAGAATCGTATGTCATTTCGACTGAATAAGAAATCGGAAATGTATTTTGATTTTCAATTGCATTTTCATAGTTACTTATTGGAACACCTAATACTTACAAACGCTACAAAATAAACATGAAAGGTTAGTGAATAAAATTGACAGACTGAGGTAATTAACTTTTTATAGTTTCATAATTTTACCATTGGAACGACGATAAATTGACAAACGCACCAAGCAATTCACGCCATCTCTAATGTCAATGAGTGTCGACGCTTAACGATTTAATTTACGACCACGGTATATCGGTCCCACTGACAATATTCCGTGTGGAACGTTGCATGCAAATCGCTTCACTTCATAATTTGGTACAGCAGGAACCAGCGCCGGAACCACCACCAGAAGTTGTCGCACCTACGCCATCCCCACAACCGGAGCCAGCCCCAGCGCCCGCACCTGCGCCCGCACCAGCGGAATCGCCAGCACCACCACCGGCACCGTCGCCGACACCAACGCCAGAACCAGCTCCCCCAGCGGAGGGTGCTCCACCAGCAGCCCCGGCGGAAGGTGCTCCACCTGCGGAGGGAGCACCAGCACCCCCTGCGGAGGGTGCGCCACCTGCTGGTCAGTATACCCGTTTTAACCCTTTAACAACCGAGACCGAAATTCTAAAGCTTCTCACAATGAAATGGCCCCCTAACTTCGGGTCACTGATTTTAATTCTTTCATTTCGAAGTTATTTAAAAATTGGCAAAGATACATTTTGTTGTATTTTTGTGTGTATTATTTACATTATTATTAATATTTTGAAATTGTACCGTTTTTCATTCGTTGCTTTTTGGAAAACTTTTTTACTTTTACTAGAATTATAATAATTCCCATTATAATGTTATTATACGTAAGGGTAACTAAATAACTTTAATCCGTATAGTGCCTTCGTAAAAAAAAAAACAGATTAAACCATATTATCATACCATAAACATACTATATCACTCATCAATATTCTTCATCTGTTTCAACGTCTTTCACGATAACAACCCGAGCCAAGTCGCTTCTTCACGGATGACGGAAGCGGAACACGACGGACGAGATTGTTCTAGCATTTTTCGTGGTAGATGTGTATAGTGTAGAATTAGATGGTGTAAGGTGCATGTGTACTTGTCCAGAGGGCGCGCCAGCAGCTGCATCAGCCGAGGGCGCACCACCTCCAGCCGAGGGTGCAGCACCTCCTGCTGAGGGTGCACCGCCAGCGGAAGGAGCGGCTGCACCAGCTGAAGGTGCACCGCCCGCGGAGGGCGCGCCTGCGGCACCACCGGCAGAAGGTGATCTTGCCAGATACATTTTACGGGACCTCGTTGTTTATGTTGTTTTATGTACCCTTATTTATAAACATCCTTTCTAATACCAGACATGGGCAAATTCATTACCTAGATAAAGAGTTTCGAATAACGAATAAAAGATAAGAAAAATGTATTCCGGGATTTTTAATTAGTTGCATTTGGACATTCCAATTTTTATAATAAAACAATATTATTTCTTATATGAGTAGACACTTGGCAAACAATTGTTTAAAGGCGATCTTAAATACTGCTGCTTTCACAATATGTTATTCGAAAGAAATTGTGCCCAACTCTGTCTAATACGAGGATAGCCGTAGGAATTCCAAGCCAAAAGTATGGGACCAAGTCTGATAACTAGACTGCGGATTTTTATGCAGATAAAACGTATCCAAATATGTAACAAATATGTAGGAAATATGCAGAAAATATTTTAATAATAATTGCAAACGATTTTTCCTAAGAACGCTTAGTTTTCGAGAAATTTGATTTTGAACAAAAATTTCATTCATATGGTAAACGTGTGAACGAAGGGGTTAAAGAAAGAGAAGAATATTATTCTAAAACGATTTGGTAAAAGTAATATGCTGAAGCTGATTGCAAATGATTCATATATATATATACTGATCCTATAACTTTTATTACATCGTAACAAAATAATGAGTTACCGTTCCATCAATTATAAACTCTGGGTCCCATACTTTTAGCCATTAGTGTATGTGACAGTAATAATCCAGGAGTAGGAGATGAGGTGGAGTCTCACAAGGGATTATTTTTTAAACTTTAAACCCGACTTAGCGTAGTCGTGCAGTGGTCCTTATTTATAACAATGTTAAAATCTTACCAGTTAATACAGATCCTCTCCAATAAGAATTAATATGACCATTCAAATCACTGCATCCAATAGGAGAATGTATCCCCGCCTCAAATCTCATTTGCTCTTTCATTTCACCCCTTTTAATCGAGACTTGTGCCTCGAGGAGTTTACTAAGAAACTAACTGTATTTCTAAAGGCGCGCCTGCACCTGCACCAGCAGAAGGAGCCCCTGCTGCGCCACCAGCCGAAGGCGCTGCTCCCCCAGCGGAGGGAGCGCCCGCTGCACCTGCAGCCGAAGCGCCAGCAGCACCCCCAGCAGAGGCTGCACCAGCACCAGCGCCCGCTGAAGGAGGTAAATGACATCCTTTCCCTTCTATTTTTCACGATTATTTATTCGTTTCATTCGCAGGATTAACCATTGTCCCTCAATTTTATTTTCCATCTTCTCAATCGATTTTACTTTCTCTTTCACTTCGACGATACAGGCAGCTCATTCATTTGGCTCGTCCATTCCACGCCATTCTCATTCCAGAAATCGATGATCGTTTCAATTAATTCCTTCTTTTCTCCAACTTAATTTCTAGCCAAGGTTGTTTTGATTTTGAGACTTAGAATGACCGTCAGACCCAATCGCCAGATACTCCGTTCGAAATTCGTTACGTACGGTACGTGTTACCTTAAAAGGTATCCATCTGGTAGATGATTAAAAATTGTAGTCGTCAGCCATCAGTAGCGTATTAAAGGAATAGTCGACTAATTACATCATCGATCACACGGTGCACCGTGCCACGGATGACATTTAGCGTCGGAGGAATCGACGAGAATATCAGCGATCCTCGTTGCTTTCGCAATCACTTCGTTCTCCAGTCGTTACTTTTGTACAAGTACCACGGAGAAATGATTCCATTACTGTAAAATTTTCGTATACGTCGTAGTATTAGTGTTATAATAGATTTTCGTATTAACAGAAATCGTAGAAATCGTAGAATATCCTCGAAACTTGGACGAACACAATAGGGGGTAAAGGAACTAAAAAATAGTAACAAGCTAGACCTAAAAGGACTAAATATCGATTATAATTAAAAAACAAAAATTGAATTTCATCCTCTCTTGATAGGGGAACTAACACCAAAGGAAACGGAATTTTCTCGGTCTAAAGTGCCATTTCCCTCTGTTTCTATTTACAGCGCCAGCATCGTAACTTCGTTGAAGTTGGAACGGACGAAGGGTCACCTCGCTATATAATTTCCACTCGTTGACGTCAGAATTTGCATAAAACGTACACGGACAAGCATAGAGCACAGAATACGTATGCGTCGAGCCATATTATTCTCCTCTCGTCACGGTTCACGCGTCCGTTGTTCACCATCGTATTGTCGTCGTCATCGTCATCGTCATCATCGGTCTCATCGTAATCATTTGTTTTCCGTCGTGCGCACGCGTCACGTTTGTGCGTCATCCGTGCCCCCCCCATCGGGGTACGAAATGAACGAAAATGAGAAAAAACAAAAAAAAAAAAAAGATGAAAGAAAGAAGAAATAGAGAAAGGTAGAAAAATGGACACTCGTTGTTGACGTGTTTCACTTCGTTTCCTCCGTGACGTTTTACGACACGTTGTAAAAGTGTCGTGTTACTCATAGCAAATCGAGAATCACCGCGCCCGGCCGCCCGACCAGTTTTCCCTTAAGGTTTCAGCTAATTACACAAAACGGTAATAATAACGAACCTTTCCGTTCGAAGGGAGGGCCTCCGTTGTCCGTGATTTCGTCCATCGACCATGAAATCGAACGATCCACGAAACCTGAAATTTCAGATACGACACTTGTAACATTTATATATAATACGTATGTGTAAATAATTTACGAGGCGTTCTACCGAAGATTATCGCAGCCACCATCGACACGGTTCCTCCAGATGAGAGAATTGGATTTCGTAATAAAAACTTTTCTGCGACAACCAAAAACTTTCTCGCCGTATCAATCACGTGAATACCTTATCGACGAGGCACAGTGTGATTTTACAGCAATATCTAGCGGGGACAAAGTTATTGCACTGAAGAAATACTAGTTTTCCGTTGGTTTTCTGGGTTTTTCTGTTAATAAAAAACACAATTTAACGTATATGTTACATTTACTTGGTAGCATCCAGATACGGAAATATATACAAATTAATACTTAAACTAATAAACTTAGAAAGGAAGAGACCGAAGCGATCTCCACCAATTTTTACGAAATTTTGTTACGAAGATCACACAAAAATACTTTACAAGTATCTTTTCTTACCTACAGTCATCCATGTTGAAGCGGTAAAGACAACCCTCAAAGTTAGGGGTGTAAAACCTATTTGGTCGAATATCTGGAAAACTATTAGAGCCTCTGAAACCGTTCAAATAGCAATATCGCGTACTTTTTTATAAGGAATCCAGCTATATTATTAGATTTCAGAAAAATCTATTTTTTCTAATGATACATGAACCTCTTCAGGGACGAATTTATTAAGACCAGAAAGAATTCTCTTTTATTCTTCGGCTGTATTTAATTAAAATATATTTATAAATATTAACGACAATTAATTGGTAGAATATACTTTTTTGTCGGGCAATTTCCTAGTGAATATTTATAATTTTGGAGTGATGTCTGATTCCAGTGAAAACTAAACGCACACTACGTGCCAGTACCCTTCAAGAGATTAAAAAATATCCATTATTGATTTATGATGCGTTTTTACAAATCCTATCAGTAATATACAATGTGTTTTTACGAATCATCGTTGAAATTGAATTTTGTCACGCCAGATTGCTGAAATATCACACTGAGGGAGGGCTCGGTGCACACGACGTGTCGTCAATGATCGTTCAGATGTGCACGTCGAAAATGGTAGCAAAAATTTGGTCGAATCGTTACGCTGTATATTGTTTCTCCTCGCATTGTCGTACACTGACGTGCAAACTCGGTTTCCGCTAGGGGAAAAAGCGTCGTAGGTGAAGGGTCGTATACCACTTGGTAAATTTATTTTAGGTACTGAAATAAATATTATGTAGAACCAACATTAATTTGGCATAAATTTCAGTAACTCCCGACATTAAGTGATAGAAAGCCCTTACAATAATAATTATATATTATTATAAGGGCTTTCCCTATTATAAGGCCACCCTCCGCCATTTTTTCCCCTACGGGAAGCCGGGTTTGCTCGTAAGGGTACATTCGTATGCACTATTTTATCAAGCGTGTGTAATATTAGGTGTGCACCGAGCTTGAATTCGAACTCGGACCGTTTCTGTTGGAGACGTCGTTCGCTACGTTTCCGCCACTCTCCCGAGCGACTCCAATTAATATTCAGCGCCTCCGGGGCTTTGATTTTCTGTCGCGGGTGCCTTTATTTGGGAACGCTCATTGTCGGTCTACCATCCGTGCCACGGAGTTGATAGAGCTCATTTGTTTACGTTGCTCACCGTCGTGGCTGCGTGTTTTGCTAATGCCTTTGTCGCTTTGTTTCGTCACACGTGCACACTGTTGACGGCCCGGGACAATGGTGGATCGTACGTAATGGAATTTACGTAGGGTCAGTCTTATTGTCAGCGGTCTCCACCCTCCGATATATCCCATTCGCCTGGTGAAATCGATCTTCCCGTGCTATCAAACTAAATTACTGCCATTGCTACGCGTCCTGTATTGAAAGTGCTTATGAGACAGAAAAAAAAAAAATTGTATCGTCATCGTGCGTGCCCATGATCCTCTCTCCTCGTAAACCCTTTTCCCGCGGTTATCGTTATTTGGGCATTTATCTGTGAAAATGAGAGCAGTTGCTTCTGATGTAAATGGACATGTATTATGAATATAACTTAATAGAAACACTTAAGATTTTTATACAACTGCGTAAATACCATGTGGTTCATATAAAACGGGAATATTTTCGCTGGTGGTAATACGCTTTAATAAGCGACACGTGGGAAAGGGTAATGTATCCGAACATTTTTTTCAATGAATTTACTCCAGTACGATTTCTTGAAGTTCGATAGTTTCGAGGTGTTTTAAAATACTTAAGCAATCAGAATTACCTAAAAAGTGCAAAATAGGAATAACTGCGTAATGTTTGAGATGATTTTCCTGAAAGCATATGATCTCCCGAAAACTTCATCGGAGAACTGCGAATGTTTCTGCATAGCCAAAACTTGATCCACTAACCTATTAATAGAAGAATTAGAAATTTATTTCTAGTTCTACGGATTTTATTACGTTAATAATAAGATATACATATAATACTAATAACAAGAATGCTTATTGTGTTCTGTTTGGAGTGCATTTCCGTACACACATATAATTTACAGTCTACCTTCTACATCAATGAGGTATAAATATTATTAAACATCATTATCCGTTTATTCGTGAAAGAGGGCGATCATGTTTCTCGCGTGATTTACTGGAATTAATATTGTTCCGCGTATTTACACATTTATTCATTGTAATGCCAATTTCAGAGCAAGCAGAATATACGCGTTATTTTCCAATGAAATTAAGTGTAAATCGCTTGTGATAATTAGCTTCGTAAACAGACCATTTATTTCTGTCTACCACCACTTTCATGACAACCAAAAGACATTTGGAGTTGAATAAAAGAAAAGTCTGTGGTTTCTTACTCTATTCTCAGGTTAGGAGATCCTATAAATGCGTAAACATTCGCATTCCACCATCAATGGTGTTGTCAGATTGGGCGGTATATTCAAATTTGGGCGACTTTTGTAACTAAAATTGCAATGAATATATCAGAAAAACCGCGAGTCGCACATTGGACAATTTCGAATTTCTATATATTATACGTATTTTTATACATATAATTCATTACACATGTTTGAATATATTACACTCAAAGATGGTTTAATTTAAATATCCCGCGTGTAGAGCACGTTCAAAATTTCTATTGCGACTTCCGGTGATGTTAGACAACCGTGTATTGTGAGAGTCCTACACAAAATCTGGCAACACTGGCCACCAGTACTAATTGTCCGAAAAACGTGGTTTGCATTTCTTCTTTACAATTCCAGTCTAACAATCCGCAGAGTCTCAGAGTGTATAAGCACGTCGGGGTGCAAATACACATCGTGTCGAAAATGCCCGTGTAATATCCGCGTATTCATCTCAAGCAGTAAAACTGACAGATGCAGAATGTAGTGTCGTTAAGTCCGCGCGCGTAATTTGAAACCCGAGGCCGTGCGCCAGGCAGTGAGACCGGCTCGTCCGAGTCAGTCAGTCGCGCTCCAGCCGCCACGGTGGAAGGTGTTCGTCGTGCTTGCGTTTCGTCGATCTTCCCTGCGAACCGTCGAACTATTACCACTCCGAAACGAAACTGACCGGTCGTCAGTCGTGATTATTCTTCGTGATTATTCTTCGTCGAATACTTGTGATCGCGAGTCAGTGCTCCGTTCCGTGTGTTATTGAAATAATCGTGTGGTGTGTCTTGTCCTCTCGCGGGGGGACAGAGCACGTTGTGCGCGCGAACAAGTTGCCGCGGTTACGCAACTCTCGTTGATTCTCGCACAGCACGCGGGAAACGGACGGCGAACTTGCGGTGTATATTCTCTCTCTTCTTCTCCCTGTTTGTATTTTTTGTTTGTTTGCTGCTCGTCGTCACGCGGCCGTCTCAAGGACTGCTCGGTAAGTCTCTACAACTCGTTATTTCATTAGAAACTCTGATGGAACGCCACGGGCAAACGATGTGACAGCGGGGAATGCAGTGGCGTCAAAAAATTACGCTGTTTGTTTTGACAGGTTATGTCTGCGACGTTTGAAGTAACCGTTTACGTGTCGAGGGTTCAAATTGATTGACACCTGCGAACTTGCGTCGTATTTCAGTGTGGAGTAATTAGACTGTGGGTCGTGTGTGTTTATACGTGCAGAACTTGATGGAGTAAACAACGTAATGGTGTTCTATAATGATTCTATTTTAGTCGTTTGGTTGGGCGGGAAATGAATGGCCGTTTGAACGTGTTAAAACGTGTGTTATTGGTGTCCTTGCTATGAAGTTCGGTCGCGTTGTTTCAGTTGATTTTACATGGTGGTGATTCGAGTTTGTAGAAATCTTGTAAATTGTTGTGGTCAGCTTTTTTATCCGTAGAATCTACACAGAATGGTGTTCGGCCGTTCATTTCATACCAACGTAATACATAATTTCAATTCAATAGAAATCTTCATGGAAAAGAATGACTTACATGTAAATATTTTTTTTAAATTCAGATACAATAATGGGAGTTAAAATATCTACAGTCTAATAGTAATTTTTTTGCGCCGATTTGACCCATTGGGCTGAGTAGGGGGTAAATAAGGACTTGCAATAATGTATGGGATTAAGGTTACGTGCTTTACTCTGTGTTTTCTTAACTGCGACACATTCAGAGTAACAAAGACGGAAACATAAAAAAAAACAAACAAACATCGTGGAATGCTTGGTCATCATGTATAATTAACAATATTTCAAATAACATTCTGGACTCATTTTCATTGGGAGAACTTGAAGAATCTACTGATAAAACTTTCAAGAAAATATAGAGATTTAAATTGGTATCTCCGTATGATTCATTACATTGTTACTCGATTTCCGATCCCGGGGACGTTTGAAGAGTTAACAAAGATCGTTTCATCTCACTGTCATTGTTAGGCAACAGTACGTAACGTCGGTAAAAGATCGTCCAACGTCTGTAGATCGTTTCCGCAGTTTAGTTAAACGACAGCTCGTGTGTTACGACTGAAAATTAAAATTTGAATCGGAACTGTAGTCATGCTCTTATGCAACAATTTTTTGCACTGTTTTAAAGAGGCTGTTCAGTCCACTGCGTGGGCGTCACGTGGCCTTGCCGAGTCCACTAATGTTTAGGATCAACCGCGGTCAGGCATGTAATTCAACGCGAATATGTAGCTTGCATTTCAACGTGAAAACCTTGCTACAAAATAACTGAAACCTCGGCTGTGTCCAATCAATCGTATAAACTATTCCGCAAAAAGTTGAACGCGCCTAGAAACGCCTCGGAACAGCTCGAAAGAATGCGAACAGTTTACGAACTTTCCGTGTTAGCGATTTCGCTTCTGTGCCCGTAATCCTCCGATGTAGCTTTTCATTAAAATCATTGCAATAGGATGAATCGAGGAGGCTTCGATACAATGTTAAACAGAAAATATTTTTCTATTTTTTTTTTCTCGAAACCAGGGACCAGAGTTAGGCACAATTTTTGTTCGAATAATACGTAGTGAAAGGCGCCACTATCTAAGAGCGTCATACTGATCTTTGAATGGTTGATGAGATTAAATAATTGTTTGCCAAGTGTCTACTCATTCAAGAAGTATTATTTTATTATAAAAATTGGAATTTCCACGTTTCAGCAGTTACAAATGGCGAAATACTTTTTTAGCTTTTATTCGTTATTCGAAACTGTTTATCTGGATAATGAGTTTGACCATGTCTGCCAGGGACCGTAAGGGTATTTAAAATAAGTTACACTTGGGAATAAATCTTTGAAGATTAATGACTAAGCGTATTTCTTAATATATGCTTGAAGCTTCGGGGATGATTAGCCATGCAAAGCTAATGAAGAAAGTTTGCGCACACATCCGTCCTATTTGACCTTGTTCGGGCGTTATAAGAGTCGTTGCATCTAAACAGTCGTGGACCTATATAGATTATTTTACTCAGTTGTACATTATATAAAAACCTTGCATTGTTATTACCATCATTATCGACACTATGCAATAATTATTAGATCCATCAACTACAAATCCCCTATATTTTCAATAAATTCGTAATATAGTTTAAACTCACAATCATCTTCAAGTCCGTTTCTTTTATTTTTAATGGAATATTTCATTGGAGATAAAAATTACTAAAGTAGCATAAATTTTTGATTTCCTATAAAATATAGAATAAACTTAATAGAACGCAGTCAATGATTTATTGGTGCTACAAATATTTCCTTATTGTGAACATTAATCCAAGGGGAAAGACTTCTGCAAGGACGCTACGCTTGACGGTTTCATAACAAAAACGATTAAGACCGCAGTAACTCGTAAACAAGGTCTGGTGAGAAAAACTCTTCATACAAACTTACATCTAAGTGTCCCACAGTGGTCCAGAATCTATATTTTACAGTACAAAGGGTCAAAAATACATTTAATTTATTTACCAAAACATTCATATTATTATTAACAATGGAAGATTTGACCCGTGCATTATTGTTTTCTTCTGACCCTTTCGTATTGTCGATCCCAATAAAAAAACACACAAAAAATTCAAAAAATTGTTAATGAATGATGAGGATCCTTTAAATCTGAAATCCAGAAATAACAAAATAATTCATCATTTGAAAATGCTATTATTTCAAATAATATTTTTACGTCCATATAACAGTATTAAAAGTAAATTTCCGAAAGAAATTATTTCAAATAGTTATCACTTATTTTCATTTTCAAATAAAATTTTCCCAAGTTTGCTTGAACTAAGGAAGCGTATGATGAGTTGTTAGATTTCGTTTTTGGAGTACACTCTGTACCTACATCCCCGAAAATACCCTCTGTTACATTTTAATCCCCGCTACCAAAGGTTGCCAAACGAACGGCCGACGAAATGCAGATAAATCGTGCGTGATCGATTACGGTCCGCGAATAACGAGTTCGTTAAATCGTTGCGCTGCGTACTTGTTTTGACAGTCATAGAAAGAATTCCGTCGGTTCTTTCCGGTCATACCGGTTCTCCCATCGTGTAAAAGCCTATTCAAGGAGGCGTAGGACAGGACAAGAGGAGCGAGCGAGACCAGCGATCTATCCGTGGCCTGATGTATAGGGGGGGTGGAAAAACAGAGCAACAGAGGGGGGATCCAAGAGGAACGGGTCACTCGACAAGAAATCCTCGACGTGTGACACCGTACACGCCACGTCTCGTGGTTCTCCCCTGTGAGACGAGCGTGCTATATCGGCTACCGTACCGACACGATTTCACGTTAATTCCTCTTCCGGTTTTTGCCGGCGTTTGTCGATCGAGAAGACAGTGCTTCCTGTAACGGAATTGCATAAACTAGTTGCGAACTTTCTTCGAACTTCAGTGCTTTTAGCTCCCGAATGAAAGATATCGACGAGAGGATAAGTAATTAAACGGAAGCACTAAATGGCGTGAATTATTTAAAAGGGCGTACTTAGCAAGTTCCATCTTCAAGAAACTCGAATTCTTTTTCCTTTCGAGTTTGAAAGTATACAGGGTGACCCAAAATAGCTTGGACTCCTGGAAATGAGGGGCTCTCGGGATGATTTGAAATAACTTTTTCTTTAGGAAAAATGTTATCCAAGGCTTTGTTAACGAGATATTAACGAAAAACCCCGACCAATCGGAGCGTAATTGCGCCGGCCGAGTTCCCACGGTAACATTGGCTACGCATTGCAATTGTCTGGGTTTTTCGTTAATATCTCGTTAACAAAGCCTGAGATAAAAATTTTTCTAAGGAAAAAGTTATTTCAAATCATCCCAGGAATCCCTCATTTCTGGGAGTCGAAGCTATTTTTGGACACCCTGTATAGTCTTTGCATTGCCTTTACTTCAATTCTAAGGTTTTACTTGGGAATTGAAGGAAGATAGGTGCATGGAACCATTTTTGGGGTAGTCGATGGTATTTAAGTGTATAATTATATATTCTATTTAGTTAACTATTTATTAGAATTGTGTGGTAGTTATTTTTGAACGTAGATATACACCCAGTCTTTGAATTATCTTACTTTGGTTTCACTTGCAAATTGAAGGAACATTTTTGATAGAGAAAGCTTAAATTCTTAGTAATTGGGATAACCGCACGGTAGCAACTCAGAAGGAAGTTTGAAATTAATGAAAAGGAAATATTTGCAACTGGTATTTCCAACGGGGATTCAGAATTTTCTATAATAGTTGGCAGTTTTTAGTTTACCGTTAACAAATAATTCTGCGAATTGGAAGAAGCGCAAACGGTGCACGAATTTTAGTCCTATCTGCAGAAATTACAGGCAAGGAAGGCTAACACGTGTAGCTAATCACGTTTCTTTTTATAACCCAGGAATGTTCTAATGCAAGCGCAATAAAGATTTTTATCTTTTATCAGATAGAACAATTGACATTTTAAATCCATTATGTGACTATGACCTCTCTTAAAAAAAGAAAGGCAAGGTCACATACATTCCTGGCGAGAAATTTGAAACTACATTCGAATTTTCAATAATCTTGTGTCGTGTAATGAATTTTCAGCCGTTAGAAATTTCGTTAAATTAACGATGATTAACAACAGCGTTGAACTGGTTGCGCATACCGATGCGCATTTTCCATGAATTAACACGTAGAAGCGAGCTTTTAAATTGATCAAATGCAGTTATTTCGTGGTCATAACCATCTGATGCACTGTGAAAGTAAAATACGGGCGAGCTGATGGAAATAACTTTCCGGTCCTTTGATAACGTGATCTGAAGTTGATTTCAATATTGTAATTAGTTTACCCGTGCACGATCACCAAACGTAAAACAAAAAATAAAATAAAATGGTTCGCTGGAATCTTCTTGGACGGTTATGAAAAAACTAATTACTCTTATTTAAAAAGCGTTCTGAAATTGGTTCTTTTCAATTTGCGCTATGGGTATTGGATCGAACACACAGAAAT